TACACTTTAATGTCACACACAAGGCCTTGAGGCTCTTGAGAAAATGCAGATTCTGGTCCTGTAGGTCTGGGTTGGGGACTGACTGCATTGCCAGCAAGCCTTCAGCTGATGCCCGTGCCTGCGGTCCAAGGACCTCATGCCCGAGTGGCAAAGCCGTAGGCAATTGTGTTTATCGTGGCTCAGTGGTGGGGGGGGGTAGGGTTCAAAGGGCATCGTGGGAGCGTGTTTACAGGACGAGAGCTGGGGTGGGGGGGGGGTGGGGATGAGTCCAGGGAGGACAGAGCGGACTAGGGACGGGGGTAGAGGGAAGAAGAGGTGCCTGCAGGGATGGTGATAGACTGAATTAGCTGTTATCACTTTGGGCATTGTTCCAGTAGACTTGACCTTGTGCCACCTTGGTTTTGCTGTCCGAGACGGTTGTGCTCAAGCACGGTGTCTGTGACCAGGCCTCGTGAGTCTCTGGCAGGGGAGGCTCGGATGGCTGCGTCTGCACGGAGGACCGGCACACAGAGAATGTGTGTGCAATGCAGAGCAAGACACCAAAAGATGGCGCGGGATGGAACCTTCCAGACGGGCCAAGGTTTAAGGCGAGTGAGAAGAGTTATAGAGGCGGGAGATTCTGGTGGCAGTGAAGCTAGAGGGCAGTGTTTTTAAGAAGGGACTGGTCGGGGCGCCTGGGTGGCTCAGTCGGTTGAGCGTCCGACTTCGGCTCAGGTCATGATCTCGCGGTCCGTGAGTTCGAGCCCCATGTCGGGCTCTGGGCTGATGGCTCAGAGCCTGGAGCCTGTTTCAGATTCTGTGTCTCCCTCTCTCTCTGACCCTCCCCCGTTCATGCTCTGTCTCAAAAATAAATAAACGTTAAAAAAAAATTAAAAAAAAAAAAGAAGGGACTGGTCAACAGTGTCAAGGAGGACGACCACTGAAAAGTGCTCGTTGAGCGGTAAAATCATTAGTTTTCTACACTATGTTTAAGAAACCCAAGGTCATCTGAAAAACAATTTTTTTAAGTTTATTTATTTATTTTGAGAGAGAGAGAGAGAGAGAGAGAGAGCGCGCGCGCGCACACAAATGGGGGAAGGGCAGAGAGAAGGAGAAACAGAATCCCTAGCAGGCTCTGAGCCATCAGCGCAGAGCCCGATGCGGGGCTTGAACTCACAAACTGTGAGTTCATGACCTGACCTGAGCTGAAGTCAGAGGCTCGACCGACTGAGCCGCCCAGTCGTCCCTCATAATCATAACTGTTTGAAAGTGAACCATTCAGTGCCATTTAATACATCCCCAGTGTCGTGCAGCCATCACGTCTGCCTCGTTCCAAAACATTCTTACCCCCCCAGAATAACTCCCTTTCCCCTCTCCTCTTATTCCCTGGCAACTGCTATTCTGTTTTCTCTCCCTGTGACTTTGACTATTTATTCTAGGCACCACATCTAAGTGGCATTGACAATGTTTGTCCTTTTGTGTCTGGTTTCTTTCACTTGAAGGGTGTTTTCAAGAATCGTCCCTACGGCAGCAGCGCATATCAGTCTGTTCTTCCTCTTAGGGATTCAGTAACATCCCATTGTTTGGAGATCCAACATTTTATTCAGCCAGCCAGGTTGATGGCCATTGGGTTGCTTTCACCTTTGGGCAGTTGTGAATAGCTCATTGTTCTTTTTCGCTCCCAGCTCCCTTGCCTTCTACCTACTGGAAATCTCCCCTGGACCATTACCTTTGTTATTCCTCTCTGGAATGCTCTTCTCCCAGATCCTTCATGGCTCTCTTATTTCCATTGGTGCAGCTCAAAGGTCACGTTGCCAGGGAAGCCTTCCTGGTCACTTTTGTTTGTTTGTTTATTTATTTATTTATTTATTAGCGTTTATTCATTTTTGAGAGAGAGAAACAGAGCACGAGAAGGGGAGAGGCAGAGAAAGAGGGAGACACAGAATCCAAAGCGGGCTCCAGGCTCCGAGCTGTCAGCCCAGAGCCCGACGCGGGGCTCGAACCCACAAACTGTTAAGATCATGACCTGAGCCGAAGTCTGAAGCTTAACTGACTGAGCCAGCCAGGCGCCCCTCTCCTGGTCACTTTTTATCGCCATTGTCTTATTGTCTTCACAGAACACATCACTATCTGAAAGGAGTAAGTAATAATGTCCAGGCAAGGAATTGTTTTGTGCTTTTGACCTCCTTAGCTAGCCAGTGAGGCCTGGGGACTCATTCTTAGAATAACGGTTTTAAATGCCTAAAACACGACTCTTATACTAAAAATACAGTTCCCGAAATGTTTTCGAATTGTGACTTAGTAATCCACGTCCTTTATTAGTTCCTAGAATATCTATACACAGGTCCACAACTCTCATCATTTAGAAGGTGTGTAAGTATAAAGGCTATTTTGAGATATTTGCAACAACTGCGATAGGAAATCAACATATCGGTGATTTCCAGCACGTGAAATCACACGTGCTGCTCAAATTCCTGTAGCTCGTTACGTACCCTTGTGCCTGAAGAAATTGCTAAGCTTTCGGGAGAGCTTAGTGGCAACGAGGTGGTTCTTTTCCTACCCCAAGTTCGTGGATCCTATGAATTCTATCCATAGGCCCCTTGGAGGTCCGTGGACCCCAGATGAAAAGCCTGTGCCCTAAAACATGAGTGACGATGAGGGGTGGGTTATGCTGGCGATGGGTTTTGGAGGAGATGGAAGAGATTGTAGGGAGGCGGGGAATGACGAGCAAGAAGAAAGGTGCCCTCTCCGCCCCTCCACAGAGCTCGGCTGTGAGAGATGTAGAACTGCCCAGCTGAGAAGGTTTATGAGGGAAGCCGCGTCTTTGAAGGGGAGTCAGGTAGCACCCAGGAGAAGGGAACGTTTGTGCAGAGACTGTCTCCGGGAGTAAGGGGTTTTGTTTATCATGGACTGGAGACCAGTGAGCACAGCAGAGTGGGGTGGAACGCTTACTCCATTCCAGATCAGCATGCTGGACACCGAGGACACACAGGTGAGTAAGACAAAGGTAGATCACCCCTTCAGGATTAGTCTAAACCGAACGCTGTGGGTTCATTGCCTGGTTTGGCTGGTCTGATCCAGGCACCGCCTCGGGGACCCCTAAGAGCCTGACGCACGAGCTGAAAGAGAGGCCCAGGGTATTACCAGGGACTGGAGTGGGGGGTAGAAAAAGCTCAAAATGCACTCTTTCCACTCCTTTCATAGAACCAAAAAAATCAAGTAAAAAAAAAAAAAAGAAAAAGAAAAGAGTTATATAATGGAGACAAATGAGCCCATCACCCAAAAGTTAATTAGATAAGTCTAAGGGATGCACCCCCCCCCTTACTCCTAATTCTTCAAGAACCTTCTAAGGATGTCTGCAACCAAGAGATTCTCGGATGCTGTTACCCTTCAGAATGATGTTTGGCTCAGAGGGATCAAAGGAAGAAAAAAGGATCTTATTTTTAGATTGTTCTCTGGAGCTCCAGAGATACCTTGCATGGATCTCTCCTCTGTATGTGGCTCTCAGAATCTAGGATTTGGTGATTCTCTTTTTTTTTTTAAAGCTATATTCCCTTCTCTACTGGAGGATCTTTCAAAAAGGCTCAAGTTGGGGGCCTCCTGCAGGTGGGAAGCTTTGGCTGGTCCCCGCACCCCCTTTGATCACATTTCCATCAAGCAGTGGGATCTGCAAACTCTGTTCCCCGGGGCTGGATGACAAACCTCTTCTAGCTTGAAGGGAGGAAGCCCCGGACACTGCAGACAGACCGGGAGATCAGAGAGACAGATCAGAGAGACGGGGAGATAAGAGCAGAGGCAAAGCTGAAGCAAAGCTGACCTAGTTAGAGCAGAAAGAGGCTGCAGGGGCGGCAGGAGTGGCCTGGGAGAAAAGAGACGAGCTTCCCAGGACAGGGAGGAGCAGAGGGCTGGCTCTTGTTTAAGATGCCCTGGCAGGACTTGGGGTCATAAAGGGGATTCTGCGTGGAGACTCAGTGAGCTGTGTGTGTGTGTGTGTGTGTGTGTGTGTGTGTGTACGTACATGTGTGGAGGGTGTGGAGGGTGTGGAGGGGAGTGTCTTTACCAAATTTTGTCCAAATGCTTAGGTTTTAAAGTCACGCTCTTGAAGGAAATGAGAACCAGAAAACTATCTGGCCCTCGGGGGAGCCTCGTAGGCAGTGCCATGAACCCAGCAAGACTGAGCAGAGCCCAGAGCCTTCTGCCAACATTCCCCGTCCTGGCCACCCCCTGGGACCCAGCTCCCATACTAGGCGCTGGGGGGAGACGGAGGAAGCAAAGACGGGGGACCCAGTCTGGAGCGTGATCAGCACCCCCCCCAACCCCCAGAGATGCCAGTGAGCACCACACTGCATCGGGGCCCCATGGGGGACAGAGACGTGCCCGTCGTGGTCTCTGCCCCTCAGAGGGATGCAGTCTATTTGAGGGAACGGTGATCCTCGTGAAGCAAGAGTAAGCGATCTGAGGTCACAGAAGGGGTTTCTGGCAGAGGTGGGGAAGGCTGTGTGGGAGAGAAGGTGGACATTCCATGGCTCCTGAGGTCTGGGAGTGCAGGATTGGGACGAGAAGAAAGAAGTGGGGCATTCCAGAGTGAAGGTACACGGATAGGCCTAAGTTTGGCTCCTGCGCGGACCAAGGAGGTGGCCGGCCTGACGGGATCAGAGGCCCATTGAAGGGAGATGGAGAAACCTAGCAGGATGTGCAGAGTCAGATTACCGAGGGCATTTTAAACTTCTAAAAGGGACTGGATCAGGGCGCCTGGGGGGCTCAGCCGGTTGAGCGTCCGACTTCGGCTCAGATCATGATCTCATGGTTCGTGAGTTCGAGCCCCGCGTCGGGCGCGCCGCTGTCAGCCTGGCAGCGTAGAGCCCGCTTCGGATCCTCTGTCCCCCTCCCCCGCTCCTCCCCCCCCCCCCCGTGTTCTCCCCTGAATAAACAAATATTAAAAACTAAACTAAGGTAAAAGGGGCTGGATCGAAATCCTAGCTTTGGCAGCCGTCAGGCCATTTCCCTGCTCCCCCCTTTAGCTACAAGCCTATCGTGGAATTCATCGACGCCCAGTTCGAGGCCTACCTGCAGGAAGAGCTGAAGATCCGCAGGGTCCTGCACGCCTACCATGACTCCCGAATCCACGCCTGCTTGTACTTCATCGCCCCCACGGGTCATTCCCTGAAGTCTCTGGACCTCGTGACGATGAAGAAGCTGGACAGTAAGGTGCGGGGGCAGGGGCGGGGGCAGGTGGGAAATCTAGCTTACTGGTCTCTTGTGCAACGCGGATGCCAGATTCCGGGAGAGGATTTGTGGCCTCCTCCCCCTCTCCTTCATTCCCTGTCCCTCAGACGGTGTCCCAGAAAGATGGTGTCATGGACCCAGTGCCCGTGTTGTGTGCTTCGCGATATGTTTTGCCAGCGCTGGGCGTGGGTTTATCCTGAGCCGTCTTTCGGCCCTGATCCCTCTTGGTTAGGACAAGGCTGGATACAGGCAAGGTGGCCGGCTGGGCCTAGGGGGCTCAGCCCTTGGCAACGGAAAGGTGTTTTTCCTTTGCTCCAGTATTCACTGGCCTGTCCTAGGATCAAACGTGCAAAACTTGACTTTGAGAGTTACTGTTCTCTATGATCCGTAATTATTTCAACAATGACCGCTGTTGCTTGTCAAATCCTCATCCTATGCCACTCCCGTGTGGGGACCTCATGGAACATCTCCTTGGATTCTCACAACTCTGTAGGCAAACGCTATCATCCCCCATTTACAGAAGGGAAAACTGAGGCTCTAAGAGACTAATGACTTGCCTGTTGTCATATAGCCAGCTCCCGGCAGCATCTAGATTCGAACTCGGATCTGTGACACCGAGTTATATGACCTCCATTCCGGAGAGAGGGGGGGGGGGGGGGGGGGTCAGGCACGTCCCGCTTTAAGAGAAACTGGAAAATGTAAGTCCCACACCAGATTGGACAAGAATTCTTCATGTGAAAGGATTATTTCCTTTCCGAAAGAATCGATGCAGGATTCTTTAAAAAAAGAAAAAAAATACATTTCCCCCCTGACATTTCATATGTGCCTGGCACTGGGACCAGTACGTGAGATGCAATATTTTAGCACCTCAGCGCTAAAAACCGACATTCAGCTATGATCAGAACAGGAGTAATTTTTTTCAGTTTTTTGCAGCACCGAGCTCGCCAACCTGTGACTAACTGCCTGCTCTGGAAATGTCATCATGCCCTGCATGTCCTGTACAGGGCAGCAGAGAGCCACGCGCTGGTGGCCTGGTGGCTGGGTTGGGTTAAGTAGGCAGCCTTTGGCAGGTGTGTCTATGGGGACCAGGTGAAAAGCGACAAGGGGGATCTGCTCTGCCTGCTGTCCCGCCTTGGCTTTGACCTCCCCCCAACCAGCCTCCTGAATAGACTTCACGAAAGGTGCCTGCAGGGTCCAGTCCTTTCACCTAGCACCGGAAACTGGCGGCAATCTCCAGAGGTTCTCCTAAGGCAAAGTGCCGAGCAGGCAGAGTTCATCTTCCAAGTGTAGGGCTCCTGTGGTCTCCGTGTGAACCTGAGCTCTGCCCTGCCTCCCCTCCGTGCCGTCACCCGAGTGGCTGGGTCACCGTCACAGTCACTGGGGCTAGCCTGCACTGGATAGGTTGGGACAATTCACTGTTAACAAGGAGTGGCCACCTCCCCCCTCATCAACCACAGATTCTCAGCTGTCATCCTTCTGCTTTGAATCACCCAAGCAGTGGGGTGCCTCGGTGGCTCAGTCGGTTAAGTGTCCCACCTTGGCTCAGGTCGTGATCTCATGGTTCATGGGTTCAAGCCCGGTGCCGGGCTCTGTGCTGACAGCTCAGAGCCGGGAGCCTGCTTTGGATTCTGTGCCTCCCTCTCTCTCTGCCCCTCCCCTGCTCGTGCTCTGTCTGTCTCTGTCTCTCAAAACTAAACGTTAAAAAAAAATGAATCACCCAAGCACTGCTATTGATATTAAGATATCACACAGCTCATGAGCTTGGGTCTGAGCTGGTTAAGACTATGGGTTTAAGGGGCGCCTGGGTGGCGCAGTTGGTTAAGCGTCCGACTTCAGCCAGGTCACGATCTCGCGGTCCGTGAGTTCGAGCCCCGCGTCGGGCTCTGGGCTGACGGCTCAGAGCCTGGAGCCTGTTTCCGATTCTGTGTCTCCCTCTCTCTCTGCCCCTCCCCCGTTCATGCTCTGTCTCTCTCTGTCCCAAAAATAAATAAACGTTGGGGAAAAAAAAATTAAAAAAAAAAAAAAAAAGACTATGGGTTTAGGAATAAGGCTAAACTTGGATCTGGATCCCAGTTCTGCTACTTACCTGCTCTGTTGCCTTGGACAAGTTACTTAGCCTGTCTGTGCCTCAATTTCTCATTGTAAAACGAGAGGGTTGTTGTCAGGATAAGTTGGCTTAATCCATGTACTCAGCACTTAGCAAACAGCACCCATTGTCATTTATTCTATTGTAACCTGGCTACAAGGGGGCCAGTCCCAGACCATTGGGTTGAGCTGTTCCTTCTGACAGCTGGTGGAGGTCCTCTGTCACGCTGCTCTCAGCCACAGATCACCAGCAATGATCCCACTTTGCTCCTTCCTTCCCTAGGTGAACATCATCCCCATCATTGCCAAATCAGATGCCATTTCTAAGAGTGAGCTAACGAAGTTCAAAATCAAAATCACCAGTGAACTTGTCAGCAACGGGGTTCAGATCTACCAGTTCCCGACAGATGACGAGTCCGTGGCAGAGATCAATGGAACCATGAACGTGAGTTCAACAGGGGTTCAACTTTCTGACCATTTGCTGTTTATTTGTATTATTATTATTTTTACAAACTAGCCATTAGACATCCCTGTCCGTTTTAGTGTCTTCAACTCTCGATCATCTGTGTCTCAGGGGTTTGTGAGGAAGGATCCAGAACCAAAACAGCTCCTCTCCCCTAGTGGTGGCTGCTTGAAAGCCTCAGAGATGTAGAGATTAATTGCCAGAGACCGAGGGAGGGAAAGGGCAACTTCAGGAAGAGTCTGGAGCCGGGAATTTGGACCTCTCCGGCCATCCTCCTCTTTGATGCCGCCTTGGTCTAAGCCAGCCCCCACGGGACCACCAGAAAGGCAAACGGTCTTCATCTCTGACCCAAACAATGCCATGGCAACCACGGCCAAAAAGTTGGCTTGCTCCCGAGACTGCAGGATAATCCGTACTTGGAGAACGGAGCCCTCTGCCCCCAGGAGGAAAAATGACATATAGCCTCCCGATTTGTCTGGTGACTAGAGAAATGTTCTTTTTAAGTTTCGGGGTTATGCTTTGCTTTATTAAGTGTGAATGAGTCAAAAAAACCACCCCGACTTGCCATCTTTCCTCTCCTTTCTCATTTCCGCCCCCCGCCCCCAACTGGAGGAATGAGTAACGAGAGGACGGCGGGGAGTCCTCGTGCTTCTTTACAACGTGTTGATGCTGTTGCTGTGAAATCTTCAATGTTGTGATTTCAAGGAGACAGCTAATGGCTTTCAGAAAGCCTCTGCTTTGGGAACAGATTTTCTTTTTCCTCCCTGTTGAGAGGCATCAGTTTTTCCTGATGACATAATGCCTGGGTATAGCCAAACTCAGGAAAGCCTGGTAATAAAAGCCGTTTTTAGAAAACTTTTCTGCCGCCGCTGCCCCCAAGTTAATCATTATGGCATCAGCTGCCCACCTCCTATGAACTGGCCAACAGATGAGCGTAGCGGGGCGGTAAATCATTGTCTCCGCCTGACTTCCTGCCCATCCGTACACCTGAGATATGTTCGTGACGAGGAGTCCCTCATCATCTCTGACAAATCTGGCCCCGAGAGCGAGGCTCTGTGGCTTGTGATAGGCGGAGTTCTATCCTCTGACCGATCTGAGCAGGAGAAAGAAGGGGGGGGGTGAACAGAGAGATGGGTGCTTATTCTCTCAAGCAGTCAGGGCGTGTTGATGGAAGCCAGGCTCTGTCAAGAGAAAACCCGAAAGGGTGCCTGGCCTGCAGAACGAGGGGAGCCTAGAGAGAAGGGTCACGTGGTGTCACTGGCCCTGATGTCCGGAAACGTTCAGTCACCTCAGAGCATCAGGCCCCGTAGATAACGTTCAAACTTGGGTTCCCTGCTGGGGCGCCTGGGCGGCTCAGTCGGTTAAGCGTCCGACTCATGGTTTTGGCTCAGATCGTGATCTATCGGTTTGTGAGTTCAAGCCCCGCATCGGGCTCCACGCTGAGGGTGCAGAGCCTGCTTAGGATTCTCTCTGTCTCCCTCTCTCTCTCTGCCCCTGCTGTGTGTTCCCTCTCTCTCGCTCTCTCTTTTTCAAAATAAAATAAACTTAAAAAATTATTATTATTTAAAAGAATTTTTTTAATGTTCATTTATTTTTGAGGGAGCGAGAGAGGGGCGGAAAGGGAGGGAGACACAGAATCCGAAGCAGGCTCCAGGCTCTGAGCTGACAGCACAGAGCCCGACGTGGGGCCCGAACTCACGAACCGGGTGATCATGACCTGAGCCGAAGTGGGATGCTCCACCCACTGAGCCACCCAGGTGCCCCTAAACTTAAAAAAAATTATTAAAAAAAACCCTTGGGTTCCCTACAGCTACCTACAGGTAGCTTTCAGGCTTGCGGTTTGCTTTGCTAAGAACAAACAAGGTAAAGAGTTCCCCGCAATCTCGAGGCGTCCCCCAAAACAACCTCTCACTCCTTTGCGGATCAGGAGTGACAGTCATTTGGGGCTCAGCTTCAAGGTTGGAAACTTCTCGTGCTCTGAAGCCACGGTTCTCAGCCACGCTGCTCTGGCTTCGAAGAGGTTCTGGGTCATTCCTTACAAGTGTGCCAGTGTTTCACTTTGAAAGACTAGATTTGAGCGGCTTTAGGGTTATCCCTATAATAACACCACTCAGCACCCATTCCCCGACATCCCGCTATGCTTTTTTGAGCGGGAAAGCGCAGGCCTGGACTTGGGCAATGCCCACGGGAGGGGGCCATGCATGTGAATGCCCCTTGTGAGGGGCAGAAAGGGTGGGGAGTGGCTGCTCTGAAATACATACACGGGATGGCTCAGCCTGTCGGCCACCAGAACAGCCGTGTCGAAAGCCCCCAAGGTCTTCGGACAAGCTGTGGTGTACGGGGCCGTGTCATCAGAAACCCGGGCATGGGTGGCAGGAGGGATGGGTGCTGGCCTTTCAATCCTGGATTTGACTCCAGCCCCATAGCCTCAGCCACCCCAGCCAGTTGTCACGGGGACTGGTTTGGAGGAGGTAGAAGAAGCCTCTTGCCTAAGTGGAGAAGAGTGTGCGGCCATCCCGCCGCTCCCCCGCTAGGGATTTTCTAGGGATTTTTCACGGCAGGAAATAAGAATAATGAGGTCACAGCCTCCGCCTTGGCTTATGGGTGGGTCTGAGAAACCACTTCAGATCGGGGGTCGGCGAGAGAAGGGCGTTGAGAGGTCTGGCTGCCCGCTGCTTTCAACCCTTGCTCTGCTAACTCTCAGGGTTGTGGACGTGAATACTAAAAATTGCGGGGCGCCTGGGGGGCTCAGTCGGTTGAGCGTCCGACTTCGGCTCCAGTCGTGAGCTCGCGGTTCGTGAGTTCGAGCCCCACGTCAGGCTCTGTGCTGACAGCTCAGAGCCTGGAGCCTGCTTTGGATTCTGTGTCTCCCCCCTCTCTCTGCCCCTTCCCCAGTCACGCTCTGTCTCTCTCTTAAAAATAAAATGAACATTAAAGAAATTGTGGTTTACGTACACAATGGAATACTACGTGGCAATGAGAAAGAATGAAATCTGGCCTTTGGTAGGAACGCGGATGGAACTGGAGAGTGTGATGCTAAGTGAAATAAGTCATACAGAGGAAGACAGATACCATATGTTTTCACTCTTATGTGGATCCTGAGAAACTTAACAGAAGACCATGGGGGAGGGGAAGGGAAAAAAAAGCTAGGGAGGGAGGGAGCCAGACCATTAGAGACTCTCAAAAACAGAATAAACTGAGGGTTGATGGGGGGTGGGACGGAGTGGAAAGTGGGTGATGGGTATGGAGGAGGGCACCTGTTGGGATGAGCACTGGGTGTTGTATGGAAACCAAGTTGACAATAAATTTCATATTAAAAAAAAGAATTTTTAAAAAAATACTAAAAATTGCTACGTTGTTCAAATTGAAAGTTGTTCTCTGAATGGCTCAAACCACAGCCAGGGGCCAGGAAATAAGCCCAGCTACTTGACTCGGCTCAGTTGGTTGGCCATCTGTGAGGTCTTGGGTTTGGCTCCCCCAAAGGCACACGACCCCGTTGAGGGCACGTGGGTGACGTCACCAGTAGGGTCGCAGGGAGACCCACAGCCGGCAGCCACTCCCTTCTCCTGAGGCGGCAGTGCCATTTCCAACGTTGGCGCATCCTTTGGCGAGCATCACCAGTCAGAGCCTGAAATGGGAAATCTTGTCCACCCTGGGAGGAAGCCACTCCTGATTGGGTTATTATCAGACAAGGAATAAACGGTCCTGACAGTCTCCATTTCACCAGGCTGAGGCGAACGGTCATCCAGCCTCCCAAGCGTAATGGTTGTACTGGAGCAGGAATAGAACAATTCGTGCCAATTGGATCATCAAACACTTTATTTTTTTAAGTTAGGTTAGGATCCTACTTTTTTTTTTTTTAATTTTTAAAGTTTATTTATTTTGAGAGAGAGAGAGAGAGGGCACAAGCTGGGGAGGGGCAGAGAGAAGGAAAGACAGAACCTCAAGCCGGCTCTGCACCCTGAGCGCAGAGCCCGGGGTGGACCTCGAACTCAGAAACCGTGAGATCGTGACCTGAGCCGAGATCAAGAGTCGGATGCTTACCTGACTGGGCCACCCAGACGCCCCGCACCAAGCACTGTAAAACATACTGAGAGGAATTTAGGGTAGACACGAGGTGAATCTGAGAACAGATTCCCAAGAGGACCTCTCAACGCCCTTCTCTCGCCGACCCCCGATCTGAAGTGGTTTCTCAGACCCACCCATAAGCCAAGGCGGAGGCTTGGGACTAGGGCTTCTGACACCTGGGGGGCAAATCTGCCCGTGGTTCAGCCACCGCACCATCTTGTGGCCTTCAGAGTCTCCTCCCTGGGCCCCCACATACAAAGTGCCACCCCCGGGAGTGTGGTTGGTTGGTTTAGCGTCTCCCCGCTCTGCTTGACTTCCTCCTGGTTGTCAAAGCCACCGGGCTCTCAAGAGTGGCAGAAGGAGGGCCAGACAGAGCCCGGCCCCGTGATTCCCTGCCCTTCATGGTTAGCTGGCTTCCGGCAGATGCCATCTAAGCCAGGAGGCAGAGCGCAGGCTCCTGTGGGTGGCTGGGAGAGGCTGGCAGCTAAAGCGCCGTGTCCTTCCTGCCCCCCAGAAAGATTTGGGCCTGGGACTTAGGGGCCCAGACAGGTCGCTTCCCCCAAATCACGAATGGGATGTATGATAACCGCCCAGTAGGGCTGTTGAGACAAGCCAGTGAAATCTGCCTGGGGGCCCTCGGAAGTGATACCTTGCGTATACTTATCCGGACGGACTTGGATGCCAGTTGCAAAGTGTGCTGTGGGAGGTCTCAGGAGCTCTCTGAAGCTGCCTTGGCGGGGGCTGTGTCTTGGAGCGGGGACAGATAAAATGACAGCGCTGTAAGGCAGAGGGGAAGCAAGTGACCCCGTCATTCTAACTAACAATGTCTTGTGGAGATAAAAACAACAGGCCCAAGGGAATAAAAACCTGACGTTTTTTATGCCTTTATTCTCTTCCTGGTGGTTTTTTTTTTTTTTTTTCTCCTTTCCTCTAGAACCCAGAGAAGTCCCTCCCACTTGACATGCCCTCCTCCATCACTTTCAGCTGAGAGCCGGGGGTGCGTGAGAAAGATACAAGGCGGTTCCCTTTCTCACCTCCTCCCTCGGTCTAGCCCTCAGGCATCGCCGCCCTCTGGCACTTTTGTGTCACGTGGCTGAAGCTTTGGAACCTCTTCTGTGCAAGAGAGACAGCATTTTCCCAGAAAGTGTTGGAGGGTGGATTTGAGATTCCCAACACGTCTTGGGGCCCTGAGTGGGAATGAATTGTGCCCCGATGTCCCTCCTACAAAGCCGGGTGGCAGAAGTCAGGGAGGCTCTGGCCCTTGGGCAGGGTTTTCAGGACTTCGGTGCCCCCTGAATTTTTCCAGAATTGAACTGCTTCTTATAATCTGGCCTTGCCCGGCCAAGTTCACCCCAGGGTTTAGAGTGCTCAGCCCATCTGCTGCTCGAAACCCCTACATGGGAGTGGCAGACCAGTGGTGGGCTTTGAAGCCAGATAGACCCTGGGTTCCGTCCCTGGCTCTGGTCCTTACTACGGTGTCTCTGCTGGCAACTGGGCCTCAGTTTCCTTCTCTATAAAATGGGGATAATAATACCTAACTTCACAGTGCTGTTGGAAAGATTCAATTGTTACTACCTCCTCTGTGAAGCCCGCTTAGATTTCACGAAGTCAGCTGCTCCCTCCTCTGTTCCTGCAGCTCTTGAATCTCTGTTTATAATCTAGACTTTACTGTAGTATTATTGCTGGCATGTCTTTCTCCCCTACCAGACTGTGCGCTCTCCAGGGGCAGGCTCTGAGCCTTCTCAACATGGTACTACTAATGCCTAGCACATAGCAGAGGCTCAGTAAATATTTGTAGAATGCATGAGGAAGCAAATGAGTCCAAATATCTGAGCCTGAGGCCTATTTCTCCAAGCAAGCCAAGGAAGCTTCCCCCAGCGGACTTTTACTTGTCTGTGTAAAGCCCTTTTGGGTAAAGCCCCACCCAGGATCACCTGGTTTGTAAACACTATTTTATTCAGTGGCTCCACTTGGCCAGTGGTCCCGGCACTTGTAACCTGACCAGCTCCCTGGGAGACAGGGCGCTGTGTTCCCCAAGCTCCACGCTACCAGTTGGGGTCAGCTGCCTTTTCTCTGGCCTACAAAACCTTCATCAACCGGACCTAGCTCCTCATTACCCCTGCAAGCACCACGCTCATACCCCTGTGTGTACTTTGTCTTTCTTTCCTCCCTACTATTTTCATGGCCCTGCTACTGCCATTCATGGAGTGTTTATTAAGCACCTACTATGTGCGGGCACGGGACCATACATTTGAACCTTTGGTCATATTCTGTCTTAGACGAGTCTGGGTATGTAATTCAGGTGCCCCCAACAAGATTGTACGCTCCTAGAGGGTGAGGGAGTGTGTCTTCTACTTCTTTTGCCTCCCTTACAGCACCTAAAACAGAACCCAGCACAGTCATGGGCATGTGGGAAAATACTTGTGGACTTGACTTCTAGGCTCAAGTGTTCAGTGTGAGCTCTTGCTCCGGGGAAGGATGAGAACAAGGAGTATACGGCTCAGTCACCGGTATGTACCGGTTTCCAGGAGCTCTCACCCTCTGGGAGGGGGCGGTGATTCTAGCCCCCTCGGTCCCCTTTAGCCTCTCTATCCACACGTAGGTGCCTCATCCCACTCCCCCATCTTCCAAAGGCTTTCCCCATCAGCACCTGTGAATTCTGAATAACTAGCTAATCGTTGTATCTGCTCATTATTCTCCTTATTTTCCACCTTCGCGTGTTCTGTATGCATTCAGCCATGTCAATATCACCTGCTGTGAATTTCTGAACAGGAGAAGCCTGGGTGAGGCCTCTTATGCCCACACAGCTCGGAGCTTAAGAAATGCCTCTTGGGGCACCTGGGTGGCTCAGTCGGTTAAGCATCCAACTTCAGCTCAGGCCATGATCTCACGTGTTCGTGAGTTCAAGCCCTGTGTCGGGCTCTATGCTGACAGCTCAGAGCCTGGGGCCTGCTTCGGATTCTGTGTCTCCCTCTCTCTCTGCCCCTCCTCTGCTTGCACTCTGTCTCTCACTCAAAAATAAGTAAATGTTTTTTAAAAATTAACAAAAAAGAAATGCCTCTTGATGACGACAGGGAGGGACACCACTGTATGAGGGCCCGAGGCCCCAGAGCCAGGCAGCAGTCGTATGGAGGGACGCTCGGTGCCTTTCCCCTGGAGCTCTGAGCTTTGGTTTGCCTTCTATTTGCAGGCGCACCTGCCGTTTGCCGTCATCGGTAGCACAGAAGAACTCAAGATAGGCAACAAGATGATGAAGGCACGGCAGTATCCTTGGGGCACGGTGCAAGGTGAGTGAGTCTCCAGGAGACCGGGACAAGGGAGCCCCTACCGTCTGCATCTCTGCTTGTCTCCAGCCTCTGTGTGACCAGTGTCTAACTTGTCCCGGGTCTCTACCCATTCGGCTTGGGCTTCAAACAGCCACAGGCAAGCTCTGGCCCCATACCTCGATTCTCTGCCACGAGCAAGCTCTCTTTGTCTCTAATGGAGAAAGCGTTCCCAAAACAAAAACAAATGTACGTGAGGCAAGGTAAGGAGCGTGCCAAGGAAGTGTGTGTGTTGGCCCGGGTGTATCAGGAGATGTACCAGAATACAGCAAATGATTAACAAACAACCCAGATACCCGTCCAGAATAGATTGGATGAGCTGCAAAGTGTTCCTATGATGGGATATTAGACAGTGGTGACAATGCATGGATTACAGTGACTTCTACATAAATGAATCTCAGAAACATAACGTTGGATTAAATAAATCATAGAAGAATACATGATGCCATTTATATGAATTCCGGAAGTAGACAAAACTAAACAAGATAAATATATTTTTAGGAATTCATACATAAGTGCCAAAACTATAAGGAAAAATGAAGGATGATAAAGCCCAAAGTCGGGATAGTGCTTAAGTCCCGTTTCAAGACCAGGAAGGGACACAAGGTGTGGGTACTATTTCACCTGGGTTGTACATACATTGGTATTCATTTTTACTTCTTTATTTCTGTATATATAGGATTATTTTACAATTTAAAAACTGATGTATTGGGGTGCCTGGGGTGGCTCAGTTAAGCGTCCGACTTTGGCTCAGATCATGATCTCACAGTCCGTGGGTTTGAGCCCCACGTCAGGCTCTGTGCTGATAGCCCAGAGCCTGGACCCTGCTTCAGATTCTGTGTCTCCCTCCCTCTCTCTCTCTCTCTGCCCTCCCCCACTTGTGCTCTCTGTCTCAAAAATAAATAAACATTAAAAAAAAAAAACCCAGACGTATTGTGGGGCGCCTGGTTGGCTCAGCCGCTTGAGCATCCGACTCTTGATTTCGGCTCAGGTCATGATTCCAGGGTTGCGGCATCGAGCCCCGCTGAGCGTGGAGCCTGCTTAGGCTTCTGTCTCTCTCCTCCTCTGCCCCTCTCCCCCACTGGTGCTCTCTCTGTCTCTAAAAAAAGAGCCCAGATGTATGTACACTCAGGAAACTTCCTTTTGTGGTCTGCCTGACATGTTGTATGTAAGTCGTCCCTGGGGCTAGCCAGTTCTGTGGATAAAGCAAGGCCTAGGCCACTGCCATGGGTGGAAGAGGTGTCTGGTCCTCCAAGTCTTCAGCTATAAGCTGGGTCTCTGAGCACGGGGGCACCGTGTGCCAGAGGGACGCTGATTCACAGTACACTTGTCCCTGCCACTGAGCAAACAACAGAAAGAGGGTGGGAAGTTGTCCACCCCCATACAAGGCTGGCATGCTTTAGGGCGCACCAAAGACCCTCCAGTGATAGCTGGATTTTCCGTAGATAGGACAAGACTGGTTATCAGAGCTGTGCTAGGTTGTGGTCCTTCTCTGCCATCTGGGGCTGAGATCCTCTGCTAGGAACATTTGTGAATGGTTCCTGGACTCACGGTCCTAACTGGGAATGAGTTTGTGGCCTGAGAGACGGGAACCTGAAATAAAATGAGGAGAAAGCAGCAGGCGTGGTTCCAGTGACTTCGTCCGATTTAGATCACACACACCTAACCAACAAAGGGATTTTCGAAAGTTTTTGTTAGAAGTTGGAGTTCGCTGTCGTGTTCGAGTGACCTGAGAGGTTGCCTGACTGATGTGATTTCTTTTCAGTGTTTGTTTTTGAGAGAGAGAAGCAGAGAGGCAGACAGACAGAGAATCCGTAGCAGGCTCCTCGTGCTGTCAGCACAGAGCCCAATGCAGGGCTTGAGCTCACGAACTGCGAGATCATGACCTGGGCCAAAATCAAGAGTCAAATGCTTAACTGACTGGGCCACCCAGGAGCCCCTGATGTGATTTTGAATGTTAGCCTAGGTTCTATGGCAGCGAGGGGCTTTAGCCCCAAGGCAATGGGTCTTTTTTGATTTTTAAAAAAAGTTTTATTCAATCTCTACGCCCAACATGGGGCTCAAACTCAAGACCCCGAGATCAAGAGTCACATGCTCTTTGGACTGAGCCAGCCAGGCGCCCCAAGGCAATGGGTCGTAAGCAGAGGGGTTATGTGAGCCCATCTGAGCTCTGACAAGGTTGCTCTGATGGCCACGAGGCAGTCTGCTGCAACTGTGCCCCACCCTGTCGTCCCAGACCCCCTCCCCGCGCCCACTACCCTCTCCCAGGCCCAGTAAGACAGAACCTAGGGTGAGTGTGCCTGTTGGTTGTCTCAGACACCACCGTCCCCACATGGTCAGGCCAGACACTGCCACAGCAGCCCAGTGGAGCCATGCCTGGAGGAGACACAGGCCAGAGGCTGCTCACAGCCTGGCGTTCCAACCAGAAGTCCGCTATGCTTTGCTTTGGTCTGTGTCTCCATCCTTCTTGGCCACTGCCCCGCATGCAGACCCTTTGCCATATGCCATACTCTTTTGAGGAGGGGGCTCGTTCGTTCAGGCCGGAAAGTGGGGTCCACTTTGTCCTGGCCACGTTGCTCCTGTCAGGCCATTATCGACCCCCTAAAAAACACCTCCTTTGAAGCTACTACCTACCGTCCAGATGGGCCACATCTGCGGTCCACACCCCTCCTTGTCACTGCCATCTATAGATGTCCTTCTTTAGACGTGGCACCTGCTCAGAGCCTTTGCCTGGCCTTTAGATTGCCTGCGTCTGAATCCTAACTGCAATTTACCAGCCACATAATCTTGCCTGCCCTTACCGAGGCCTTGCATGGGCTATTTCCTTATCTGCCTGATAAATTCTGATTCTTCCGTCGAGAGTTAACTTAAGAATTGCCTCTTTGGGGGCGCCTGGGTGGCGCAGTCGGTTAAGCGTCCGACTTCAGCCAGGTCACGATCTCGCACTCCATGAGTTCGAGCCCCGCGTCGGGCTCTGGGCTGATGGCTCGGAGCCTGGAGCCTGTTTCCGATTCTGTGTCTCCCTCTCTCTCTGCCCCTCCCCCGTTCATGCTCTGTCTCTGTCTGTCCCAAAAATAAATAAACGTTGAAAAAAAAAAAAAAGAATTGCCTCTTTGGTGAAGGCTTCACTCTGCTAGGAGTTCTTAGTGCACCCCCCCCCTCGCCGCCCCCTTCTTCTGGGCTTTCACTGTGCCTTGGCCATACACCTCCATGTTGGTAATTTTTTACATTGTATTATATTCGTCTCTTTGCATCTACTTTTTCACTAAACTAAGTTCCTTAGGGCAAAACTCCATGACTTCGTTTCTGAATTCCCGGCGCCTCATACAATACTGGGAACAGAGATGCCGCAAATATGTATTGGGACAGATGGCTGAATGTGCATTCGCCATTATCCCCAAAGCGGTGCAGAGCAAACAAACAGTCCTGTGAGTGTCTGCTCCGCGAATTTGGGTCGGGGTGCTACGGAATGTCTTCCCAGGTATTTTTTGGCCGTCTTGCAGTCTTCCCTTACTGTCATCCTTGTGACTCTTCATGGGCGTTTGCAGCGGGAAAGTGAATCAGGAGGCACATTCGCGGGCTCTGCATACGCGAGGTGGAAAGGCGATGTCGCTGTTAGGCGCCTGGCCTGTCGTTTTGTCCATTTCCGCTGCTCCTAGCCTGCCTTTCAGTGTGCTTTCAATGCCCCCGCCCCTGCCGTGCAGTTGAGAACGAGGCCCACTGCGACTTTGTGAAGCTGCGGGAGATGCTGATTCGGGTGAACATGGAGGACCTCCGGGAGCAGACCCACAGCCGGCACTACGAGCTGTACCGCCGCTGCAAGCTGGAGGAGATGGGCTTCCAGGACACCGACCCCGACAGCAAGCCCTTCAGGTACCTCTCTGGCCAGCCCAGCCCACCCAGGGGCTGCGGAAGGCTTGCCCGGGAGAATTCACACGGGAGGCGAGACGCGGGTGCCGAGACCTTAGAGCAGCAGGGCTGTCACCTGCCCGGTCCACTCTGTCACCCCCGCGGCTGTGGCAGAGCGGGCTTGGCGAGCGCCCGGCCCCGGAGGCCCAGAGGACCCGGGGGGGGGGGGGGCGCCCAAGCTCCTTGCTGCGCGCGCACGTATGCACATGCGCACTAGCCGCGGGCAACTCTAGCAGAGGGGACCCCGGAGCCGAGGCTGTTTTCTGCAATGTGGCAGTTTGTGCCTGTCCTCTGACCCACGTCCTTCAGCAGACTCCGACTGCCCCGCCGGGTGTCCAATCCGCTCCTTCCCATTATCAAACCAGGTGGGACCAGGTGGCCGTCATTGCACGCGTATCAGTGAACTTCAGGCCCTTCAGGCGCTGTCCCTAGTGTCTGGCGTTCAGGTGCAAGTTTGGTTTTGACCACCGGGTGTTAATAACCATTGACGTCCGTCTCAAATCAGAACTTGAGGTGCTTTCAGAGAAGAGGACTGTTTTCAAAGCGGTTTGCTATGCCGACAGGAACCACACGCCAAGTATCATCGTCTGATCTGTATGCATGCGGCGTGACAGAAGTCCCACATTTAAAAAAAAAATTCTTTTAATCTTTATTTATTTTGAGAGAGAGACAGCGTGTGAGCAGGGGAGGGGCAGAGAGGGAGGGAGACAAAAATGTGAAGCAGGCTCCAGGCTGTCAGCACAGAGCCTGGCGCAGGGCTCGAACTCACGAACTGTGAGATCGTGACCTGAACTGAAGTCGGGCGCTCAACCGACTGAGCCACCCAGGCGCCCCAAGCCCCACGTTTTAAATTATGTGGTGCCCTTTATTACAGCTCAGTCCCCTCTCAGGAAATGTCAGGCCGCAATTAGGAAGTCAGGGAGATACTTGCGGGCTAAGAAAGCTTTCAGGTGGGCTCCGAGTCCCATCTTTGATTTAAACTCAACGTTAGATATTCCTACCCCACTGCCTCCTTTCCGGAAATTCTCTCTGCCCTGGCTTTTCTAGCACCGACCTGTCTGGTTTGAGTCCTTCTCTCACTACTCCTTCTTGGCCTCATGGCATGCTCATTTTCTTCAGCTTACTCCTTTTTTTTTTTTTTTTTTTTTTTTGAAGTGTATTCATTTATTTGAGAGGGACAGAGACAGCGCAAGCTGGGGAGGGGCAGAGAGAGAAGGAGAGAGGATCCCAAGCAGGCTCTGTGCTGTCAGTGGGACTCGAAGTCCTGGAGATGTGAGATCGTGACCTGAGCTAAAACCAAGAGCAGATTCTTAACCGACTGAGCCACCCAGGCACCCCCCGAATTATTTTAAAGTGCTTCCAAGCTCCAGGAGTTCTGCTTCCCTTACTGTTCCCTAACTTCCCCCAAATCCTCTGTCCCTACCAGCCCTTCACATTCAGATCCCATCATTTCTTTTTCTTTTTTCTCCTATTTCCTCCATACCCCACCCACCTCCTCTCTGGCAACCACCAGTTTGTTCTCTGTATTGAAGAGTCTGGTTTTTTTGTTTGTTTGTTTGTCTTTTTCTTCGTTCGATTGTTTTGTTTCTTAAATCCCACACGTGAATGAAATCTCATGGTATTTGTCTTTCTCCGACAGATTTATTTCACTTAGCGTTAACACCCTCTGGCTCCATCCATATGTGGCAAATGGCAAGATCTCATTCTTTGTGTGTGTGTGGCTTTTTTTGTGTGTGGGAGGCAGAGATCCCATCATTTATTTGGATTGTTGGGAAGTCTGTCCATCATGCAGCAGCCAGAGTGGTCTTTCTCATTTTCAAATTGCCTGAAAAAAAAAACCAGTCCTCCTGCTTAAAACCCCGCAGTGGATACATGACCAAGTCTGTAACACAGCGTCCAACACCTACTCTCTCCTGTCAGACAGACTCAGGAATCTCAACGCCCTCTACTTCACAGCTTGCTTGATCCCCTCCCGCCATGTTGAACTACGCCTGGTTCCCCAAGTACATCATCCTTTCTCCACACGTGCCTTTCCACATGCCGCCCTCTTCAGAGCATGATTCCTCCTCTTCTTCACTAGGCTGACTCCTATCTCTATAAAACTGAGTCCAGGCTGGGGTCAGGGAGACTTGGCCTAGGCATCTCCCAGTAGACCATGAGTTCCTTGATGGTGGGCATAGTGGCTGTCCGCTCTAGATGTTGAGTGACTAGCATAGTGTCACTTAGTTCTGTGTCTAGCACATGATGGAGTCTCACCAAGTGTTTGAAATAGTTCATTAAGGGGCACCTGGTTGGCTCAGTCAGTTGACCGTCTAACTCTTGATTTAGGCTCAGGTCATGATTTCATGGTCATAGGATCGAGCCCATGTTGGGCTCAGCACTTACAGCATGGAGCATGCTTGGGATTCTCTCTCCCTCTCTCTCTGACCCTCCCCCCGTCAAAAAAAAATAAATAAATAAACTTGAAAAAAGAAAGAAATAGCTCATGAACTATTATAGCTAGTTAATAGCTCATTAACTATTAACTCTGAAACTGCAGTCAGTTTCAGAGCCAGGACCTGGGAGCACAATGCAGAGTAAGGATCCAGATTAAGAGATGAGAGACCCAGCTTCCGGTCCCTGCCATTGGCCTGACTAGCCGTGTGGTCTTGAGCAAATCACCTCACCTCTCTGGTCCGGTTTCCTCGCCTGTATAACCAGGGCACAGAAGCAGATGTTCTAAGTCCGGTTCCAAATATTGTGTCCGTTCACCAGGGCTGCCCTGTCCCCCTCAAGCAGCCCTGTGATCCTGCAGTCACATGCTAGGCAAGCTGCCTGCAGCTCTGCGGTTCTGTTTTTGCACCTGTCCCAGAATTGGGGGAGGCTGGGGGGAACCCGAGGAGGATCGCCGGCGCCAGTTTTCGTTGAATGGGAACCGTTCCAGAGGCAGGGGGGTTAACCTGACCGTGTCTGCAGCTTACAGGAGACGTATGAGGCCAAAAGGAACGAGTTCCTAGGGGAGCTCCAGAAGAAAGAGGAAGAGATGAGACAGATGTTCGTCCAGAGAGTCAAAGAGAAGGAAGCTGAACTTAAAGAGGCGGAGAAAGAGGTAAATGCAACCCTGAGTGCCCAGGAGGCAAGAAAGAGGGGGCTGAGCTTGGGCACAGCAGGGGCTTCTGCCCCAGGGGCACAGCCAGCTAGAGCCTTGCAGCTTCCAGGCAGGAAGGGGTGCGGTATCTGCAGCCCTGCCTTGGCTGGCACCGAGGGCACTGAGAGATCTATGTCTTCTTCTCTTCTTCTTAATGTTTTTTTATTTTTGAGAGAGAAAGAGAGAGGGTGCACCCAAGTGGGGGAGAGGCAGAGAGAGGAGAACAGAGGACCCGAAGCTGGCTGTTCGCTGATAGTGAACCCCACGTGGGGCTCCAACTCAAATGCGAGGTCATGACCTGAGCCAAAGTTGGGACGTTCAACCGATGGAGCCACCCAGGCAGCCCCAGATACATGTCTTTTTGATCCCTCATTCCCCAAGGCCAGGATGTGTTCTTGTTCTCTGAGCTACGTAATTCTCTAGAGCTGCACACTCCCATATGGTAGCCACTAGCCACATGGGGCTATTTAAATTTAAATGAATTAAAATTAAGTAAAATTGAAAACTCGGTTCCTCCGCATTTCAAATGCTCAGTCCTCATGTGACTAGTGGCAATCGGATTGGACAGCCCAGGTACAGAATATTTCCATCACCGCAGAAAGTTCTAGTGGGCAGTGCTGCTCAAGAATCAAGACGTGACCTACCCCCTCAGAGTCAGGTGCAGACTCATTCTTTTCCCTCTTCCTGGCAGGTCAGAACTTGGTAGGGACAGGTGATCACTTTCTTGGCTGTCCCACCCCATGCTACCTCCTTTGACGGCCACAGGGTAAGGTGTTCCCAGGCGGTCCTAAGTACCTTGCTGAAACCTACATCAGTGACAGCTGGGGCATTTCCCCGGTCACTTGGATATTCGGTCCCATTTCACATTAGCAGTAAGGGAACATCTGTGCAGCCCTGGCAACTTTTTAAACTCCGGTTGGTCTATCTGGGGGTTTTCATCAGGTAAGTCATGGCTGACAGAGTGAAGTTCGTCCTCCAACCATTGCCTTGTCCCCAAGGTCCACTACTGGTTTGCCCGCTGCTGCCCAAGTCAGTGGCCTCAGCTACGGTTTTAGCCGTCAGTGACTGCTTCATCTCTCTGGGCCTCGAGACCCATACAGAACGGAAGGACCGGGGCACCTGGGGGGCTCAGTTGGTTGAGTGTCTGATTCTTGATCTTGGCTCAGGTCATGATCTCACGGTTCATGAGACTGAGCCCTGCGTTGGGCTCTGCACTGGGTGGGAGCCTGCTTAAGATTCTCTTTCTCCTTCTCTCTCTGCCCCTGCTCCATTCGTGCTCACTTTCTCTCTCTCTCTCTCTAAAAAAAAGTGGGGGGGGGGGTGCCGGGGTGGCTCAGTTAGTTGAGCGACCGACTTGGGCTCAGGTCATGATCTCACGGTTTGTGAGTTCGAGCCCCGCGTCGGGCTCCATGCTGACAGCTCAGAGCCTGGAGTCTGCTTCTGATTCTCTCTCTCTGCCCCTCCCCCACTCATGCTCTGTCTCTGTCTGTCTCAGAAATAAACAAACATTTTTTAAAATTAAAAAAATAAATAAAAGGGAAGCACTTACTTACTTCCCAAGTCTCTTCCCCCTGTCATCTGCTGTGGCTCTCTAGGGTCATCACCAAAGTCCATGGCATGGATATTGATTTTATTTCAGTGTCACTTTCCAAAAGAAAAATGTCACCCAGTAGTTTTGGAGGGAGTTGTGAGGAGATCTCAAAGATGGATGAATGAAAGGCCAAGGAACAAAAGCCAGGTTAGAGCAGCTGATGGGCAGGGCTTCCACCACCCTACCCCAAGTGGCTACTGAAAGCTGGTCTACACAGCAAGCCTGGCACCCACCGGCCCTCACTACGTGGCAGTCCCAAATACCTGTAGGACCCGGAGACCTGGCCCCCTCCGTCCTGTGCTTCGAGTGCTACAGAATCGTAAGTTCTCTCCAAAAGCGAGTGAGGCTATGCTTGGTCCGTTCTTAGTATTCAGGGTAATCGATCACATTCTAGTTTGCCACCACAACGGCCTGCCAGAATATTCTTCCCATTCTCCTTTGGGTGTCTGATTCTTTTTTTTTTTTTTTTTTAATTTACTTAATTTTGAGAGAGAGCACAAGCCGGGAAGGGGCAGAGAGTGGGGGGGGGGGGGCCATAGAAGATCCGAAGTGGGCTCTGCACGGACAGCAGCGAGCTCGATGCAGCGCTCGAACTCCCGAACCGTGAGGTCATGACCTATGCCCAAGTCAGACGCTCGACCGACTGAGCCACCCAGGTGTCCCCTGGGTGTCTGGTTCTATTCAGAGCTAGCTGGGTCTCCCCTTGGTCAAAGCTGAGGTCTCTGCACTCATTCTATTTTATAAAATTCTTTTATCTCCTTCCATGTCTGAGGACAAGTATTTTCTCTGACCAGCTTTGGCATTGCGGAAGTCTTCTCTGCAATCCTTGATGATCCTCCTTGATTAAAGGCGCATAAGAAAAGGCAGGGGCCCCTTTCATATCGGGAGATCTCACAATATCATCCTCTAAAGAATGGTTTCACCTTGGACAAATTCCTTAACTTCTCCAACCTTCTGTTTCCTCATGACGTACAGATGATAACAGAAAGGCTATTGATACTCACAATTAATATGGCCAGTCATAGTTCCCTGCCCATATTCAAGAGCAGAAACGTGGAGGTAAAGTGGCAGGAGAAGGGAACTCTCCAGAACACAGTGCCCTTTGGGGCCCTCATATCAGTTCCTGGCAGAGAGTCTCCTAAGGTCCCAGGGCCCTGAAGGACGCCCCCCCCCCCCCACCAGTACCTACCCGCCCCGGGCCGGCTCAGCTGGGAACTCACTATAAGCAAGGACTGTCCTCAGACTCCCTGTGCCCCCCGCCAGCTGCATGAGAAGTTTGACCGGCTGAAGAAGCTACACCAGGACGAGAAGAAGAAACTGGAGGATAAGAAGAAATCTCTGGACGATGAAGTGAATGCCTTCAAACAGAGAAAGACGGCGGCTGAGCTGCTCCAGTCGCAGGGCTCCCAGGCCGGAGGCTCCCAGACGCTGAAAAGGGACAAAGAGAAGAAAAAGTAAGTGCTAGGCTGCTCTGGGCTTCTGGCTTCTTTCTCCTCCTGCTCCTCCCCCCTCAGTGCAGGGCCTGGAGACAGATGGGCCTGAGGGCTGGTGGCCCGAGGTGAGCCGTGGGCTGACAGATGCACTTGGGGACCCAGAACTGGTCTCAGTGTCCCCTGAGTTTGGGTGACTTGAGAGTAGGGGACGGCTGACGTCCCAGAGGCCCGGCACCTGTGCTCGGGCCGCTTAGGAAAGCCCTGCAAAGCTCTAGGTAGGGGGAGAGGGAGGGACAGGAGAGGAGAGGCAACCGGAATGTGGGAGGGGACAAAGAAGATAGAAGGAAATCAAAAGAGCTCTAGAATTGTAAGAAAGAGATGGATGAAAGGAAGGGTAGATAGAGGGTCGGGGGGAGAGAGAGCGCCTTGGCGGAGCCTCTGGGCACCCCCTTTCTCCCCAGAGGTTGGCGCCGATCTGGCTCACGGGCCGGCCTGCTCATCCTGTGTCTGAGGTGTTCACCTCCCCATGCCTGTAGCCACCACCCCCCCCCCCACCCCATTCTCACTTAGCTGCAGCCAGCAGTTGAATTGCTGCTCCTGAAGGCTGCTGCCCAGGCCTGGTCTCCCACCCTGTGCTCTCCATCCCTCTTGGCTGCTTAGCTCTTTCAGGCCTGGGCTGCTGAGAACTTGGTGGGGAGACCTCAGATGCTAGTAGATTCCGTGTGGCCCACCCTCAAGGTGGAGAGTGATTGCACAGGGTGTCTACGTCTCCTGGGATCTGGTAAGGCAGGCTAGCGTGGATTCCCGCCTACGTGTGGGTCCGTAACCCTGACCCAATGCCAGGCTTTGCTTGCCGAAGTCACCCATTTGTCATCCCGGAGCCAGAGGACAGTCTGGAAGCATTTCCAGAGGGACGTACACAACACCAGGAACTGTCCGGTCGTCCCTTTTGCTCTAGTTTCTGCAGTGGGACTCGGGGAGCCCTTGGAGGCACTGTTGGGCGATGTCCTTTCTAAAGGGGCCTGAGGGTCTGAAAGGTGTCCAGGGTCATTGCCTTCTGTTCTTAGCTACTTGTTCCTGACTCAACTGTTGGACATTTGCCGGAAGGAGGAAACCTCTAACTTGCCTCTGTGCCTGGCCAATCGCTTAGGAGTGAAACAGTGGCTTCCGTACAACAGTAAAAGATCTAATATTTGTAGGCACTCAACTTGGCAATCCAATGACTCAAAGTGTAATTTGAACACTTTCACCAATCAGTCCAGAGATGTTTGTTACGGAGTTAAACCACTAGGTGTCAGATCACTGCCTAATGAACTTTTTTTGGTGTTACCTGATGGATAAGCTTTAACTAGCCAGAAAAGAAGTGTCACTGGACACACTGATCTGGCATTGTGTGTTAGTTGCACCAGCAGGAATGGGTTCCTATTTTTAAGATCAGAAAAACCTAAATGTGTCTTCCGGCTCCAACTGGCTGCCTTCATAGCCTGTGGTATTTGTCAACTCAATCCCTGGGGCAGCTTCATGGCCCGCTTGCCGGAACTAGGAGATTCCTGTGTTTGGACCCCACTGACACTAAACTATAAATACTCCCAATTCAGTTATTCAGTGGAAGTTTCTGTCAGACCAGGTTCTCTCCTAGTTGTCTCACATGAACTGATCCCCCTCTCTCACTCCAGGCAGAGGACCCTATATAGGGAGGCGTGTCTCTCCAGTCTCCAGGAATATTTGGAATTGGTGACGGCGCCTTTGTCCAATTCCGAGACGTATGAAAACCTTGCTGGCGTGTGGGACTTCATATTAGCAATCAGGGCAAAATAGACTGTTGTCTCCCATCTTTCCAGACACAGAAATGGCCCAGGCCTGGGCTTCTTTTTTTGTTTTAATAATTTTTTTTTAATGTCTACTTACCTTTGAGAGAAAGAGACAGACAGAGTGTGAGCAGGGGAGGGGGCAGAGAGAGAGAGGGAGACACAGAATCCGAAGCGGGCTCCAGGCTCTGTGCCATCAGCACAGAGCCCCATGCAGGGCTTGAACTCACGACCCATGAGATCATGACCTGAGCCGAAGTTGGACGCTAAACTGACTGAGCCACCCAGGTGCTTCTTGGGCTTCTTCTGTAATGCCATCAACAGTTGGCTAAATTCTGGAAAACCCTTCTTTAGATCTGGGCCACTCTGCTCCCATAGTGCTGCTGGTGGGGGGGGGGGAGGTTTGGAGGGTAGAGGCGGTGGCAGGAGGCACTTCTTAAGAGTTGGTGGTTGGGTGTAATAGAGTCACATAACTCAGAATTTCCATTGGCTGCCCTGAAAGAGGTTACGAAAGAATATTGGTGTTCCCGGGGTCCCTCCCAGCCCGCCCTTCCTCCCCGTCCCCACTCTTCCTCATTTCCTTTGATCTCTAACCCATCATTGTTTGTGTCAGCTCATAATATTGGATTTCTCCTCAAGCTCACTCCCTCTTCATCAGCTCTTACTGTTTTACAGTTAACTCTGCTGTTTGCTGCATGCTGCATGAGACCCAGGGTCCTGGTAAGCTTTATTAACTCTAAATAGAACCGCCAGTGGCTTCTAGAACACATGTCCCCACATCCCACTCCCCACCCAACATCTAATCACGCAAGAAGCCGCTCCACTGTCCTAGCTCTTGGGACTTTACAGTATGGGGACATAGTTTGCTGTGGTCTCAGGTGTACGTGTGGAATGTTTGCCTGCGTGGTTCAAAGTGGAGCGTTTTCAGACTCGCTGCTAGAAGAGTTGAGTAGCGCAGGAGGATCCCGTGGGTCCTCAATATTTGAGGTTTCAATTGTGGCCGTTCTTTTTTTCTTACAAGTGCCTTAGTCATTGCTTTCAAAATTAACTAACGTGTAAGTGACGAGGGAAGCTTTTGGGTTTGTGAGGCTGTCCTGCAATGTCACACTTGGCATTGACCCCAGGTTTGGGTATGTTCCAAGTCAATGGAAACTTGCTTCTCTATTTCCCTGTGGTGGCTGTTTCTTATTCAAGGGGTTCAAGTTCTCAAATTCCCTTTGGCTATGTGCACTCCTCCCCCCCCCCCCAAAAAAACCCTATAGTAAAAGTGGAAGAAAAGAGATTTCAAATATTATAGAGACTTCCTCACATTTCATTTTATGAATACCAGCTTTCATGTACGCCTTTGACAAGAAGGTAAGCAGGTAACCTTTGGTAACATGGATTCCTGAGGGCTAGGCATTACGTCTACAGACTGAATAAAAGCCGTCCTTGACGTCATGTGGTTTATAGGTTGGTTGTAGCGATGATTAAGCACCTTCTGTCTATTCTTCTAGGCTCAGTGAGCAGGGAGGAAACAAATATGTTTCATTTAACATAATTAGGCCTAATACTGTTTTTTATACTTTATCATAGAAACTTCCAAACAGGAACAAAAGAAGAGACAAGATAGTATAACGCAGCCCCGTGTGCCCAAACCCTGCCCCCAAACAACTGTCAACATCTGGCCAGTCCCATTTCCTCTATTATCCCAAACATGCTGGAGCACTAGAAAGCAAAACCCGCATCGTTTCATCTGGAAATACTTTGGCATGTAGCTCTAAGAGCCAGTGACGCTTAAAAAAAAAACAAACAAACATAACCACTACGCTACCATTATCACACCTACAAAATTAACAATTTAACACAAAATTTCTAGTCAGTGTTCAGAATACTCTAGTTGTCTCATAAATGCCTGTTCCGCGTGGTTTGTTTGGGTCAGGGAATATAAAATACTGAGAAGACTTCTCCCCACTCACCAATGTAGTTTATGATTTAAGTGGCAAGCCCGCTGTGAAGTCGCCAAACCGATGGCCACAGCTACTACTCTGGGGACTTTGGACAGCTGGCAAAACATCCTACTTTCAAGCAAATCTCGAGGAGGAAGTCCAGGCAGGCTTCTGAAACATAAAGCCCCTGAAACAGCCAAAGGGAACAACCCTCAAAGAACAACGAGATGATATATTGTCTGGCTGACAGGCGAGTCTCAGAGCCCCTGTTAGTTGACAGAAATGAAAGGGCCGACTTCCGCTTAGGAAGGCCACGAGCTCCTACAGCGTGTGTCCGCTGCTGTAGTTCTGGTGCCCAGCCAAGTGGCTGACGCCCAGAGGAGCTCCGTTCTTTGTTCCCCCATTTTCAGCGAGGACGGCAGGAAAGCTGTATCGCGGTAGCTTAGGTCTCAGTTGATTCGGGTTTCGGTGCACGTGGCTTGTCCCAACTCGGGTCAGGTTTCCCTGAGTAGATCGTTGTCGGTAGCCATTATGAAAATGAATTCTGGCGAAACGACCATTAAAGCCGCGCCGTACCAGTGAGAAGCGATTGGCACACGGTGGGAACAGCCAACCCCAACCCCGAGTGTTGGCTTCTCCTGGCGGGCTTCTCCCCAGTAGACCGCGAAAGTGGTTCCGATCCAAATAAGGGAGGGAGGCCTTGGCCCCATGGGATCTGAAAGCCACAAAGGAAGCCTGTCCCCTCCCCAAAGCCCTCGGTCCAGGGGCGGATCACAAAGGCCACCCCTCATTAACTGGAGTGCCAGCAGAGGGAGGCTCTCTGTTTCCTCACTGCTTTCGAAATTGCTTGAGGTGCTGCGGCCTGCTGTCTGCAATTGTAAGAGAAATTCCTCTGTGACCCATACGCAGCCGCAGATACCGTATGTCGGTGGCTACTGGCCCCTTGACCCGTGTGTGTGGGGGGCGTGCAGCACGTGGACAGTACACACCTGCCCAAATATATCCACCTTCCCGCGCAGCCCAGAGCATAGGCCATCGCAGTGTTGTTGAGGCCTCTCTTCCCCTCGGGAGTAGACAGACTAAAATAAGAGGTGAGCATTTTGTATAGTGTTTTAACACTTTCCAGAGCATGTCTCCAGACGATATATTCTTTTCACCTTGCAACAATCATGGGAGGTAGAGAAGGAAGGAATAATTAATCTTCAGTTTGCAAGATGAGCAAATGGAGGAGTGAGCGACTTCGGAGCCTTACCAAGGGTCACACAGTGAGTGAGTGGCAGAACTGGAACAAGAATGCAGAACGCCTAATCTCTGGTATAAATGGCTATTCACATGAGAGGGAGAGAATGTGTGGGTGTGTGGATATGTTCACTCTGAGGAAGTGACTACAAATATACTCACATCTCACATCTGCATATGCTTTTAACTATCCCTCGCAAATATCTAATAGCCTTTATTTAATGAGATAAACGTATTCTTTGCGGGTAATAAAACGGAGGCTAGAAACACAGGCAAGGAGTTGTCAGGAACACGTCAGTGTGATGGAAAGAGTCTTGATCAAAGAGCCAAAGGATTCAGGTTCTGATCCTGTGACTCTTTCTTTGTGACCACGGAAACGTCCGTTGGTATCTCTGTTCCCCGTCTCCTCGTAAGTTTCAAAAGGGGGTTGATACCACTTGCTCTGCTAATGTCACCGGCATGAAAGTTTAAATGACAGCAAGGTGAAAGTGCTGGGCGAACGCAAACCCATAATGGATTTGCCGTAGCTCAGGTTTGTCAGATAACTGTGGTCCGGACCCTATTGCAGAACCCCTCAACCATCCCCGGATACTTCTCGAACCGTCTTGCCCCGGGGCACCAGTCAGTTGACTGGGGCTGCTCCCAAGTAAGCTCCACCCCCTCTGCTTCCCCTAAGGGACCGCGCAGTCTGTGGCTGAGAGCCTGAGAGCCTGGCGCTCTATCCAGTGGCCTGAGGCCACTTGGAGATTTGCTGACAGGATTCCTGTAGTGTCTGGGTGGGGGGGGGGGGCGCCCGGCCATTAGGACCTAGTAATTCAGAAGAAAGTATTCTGGTGGCTGTTGATAATGATTTTGCCAGCTTAACGCCACTGTCCTGCCATTCAGAGGTGTGTGGGGGTGTGTGAGAGAGAAAGCATGTTCCCAGGAGCCAATGCAGTAAGACCCTATTCTAACATAGCTGTATTCTAATTATCCATTAGTCGTCATGACAATTTTCTTCTAACCTTTTTTTTTTTTTTTTTTTTTTTTTTGTAAATTAATCCATACGTTCATTAACCCAACTTCTCTTTTCATTTTCAGTTTGGGCTTCCTGTAGACGCCCTTTTCCTGCGCAACAGAGCTGGGCCTCCCTTTCTCTAACTCCCCCTTAACACGTCCGGGGGAGCACGCCACCTGTGCCCTCCCCTCTCTTCCTGCCAAAGTTTATAGAAGCCCGGGAGTCTGAGGATGGTGTCTGGCCTCTGGTCGAGAAGCCAGCGGTCGCCGTGGTTCGGAGATGCCTGGCGCATCCCAGGCCCCTCCTGGCGCCTCCCCCTCCGGCCTCTCCCCGGCCATCTTGGCCACACTGTGACACGTTCCATGGTCCCATCTGCCCTTCCCCACCACCAGCTTCCCTGCTCGTGACTGCTGCTTGTTCCCCTGAAGTATTTGCGTCCACCGTGGCTGGGTCAGAGCCAGTCATCACGGCTCTTCCCCTTGGTCCCCAGGCACCGGGCCACGGCCCCTTCTGAGAGGGCTCCAGTAGGAGGTCCTCTGGTGCCTTTTCCCTCTGGCCTCCGAGCCCGGCCCTTTCCAGTTTTGAGTTGCTCTGAGTAAGTGCACTCAAGTGGTGTTAAAAATCCAGAACGCGTTTAGTTATGCCGAGGCCTTTCCAGAAAACTCGACTGCTGAAGAACATAGCATAGATTTCTCCTCTCTATAATGCCGGGTACCCCACAAATGCAGAAGGGAGAATAAACCTGAATATTCTCACCAGCCTAGTGTCTTCAATGATAGACTTCTGGAATTCTTCTGAGGTGTCTCAGTATCTTTGTAATCTCCCTTAGGGCTCCACACCACCCCAATCAGGCAGAGCCAGTAGCAGGCCCACGTTGGAAACTGCCAAACCGAGCGGTCAAAGAAGCAATGTCTTCAGTTTTGCACTGATGGGTCTTCCCGTCTATTTAGCGCACGTCGGGAGTTTTAATCCGTATTTTGCATGTGTCCCCCCCCCTCCCCCCGCCCCCATAAGAAGAGGTGAGACGATCGGTTGGGGAGGCAAACACCAGGTGTTGTGCTTTGGAAGGTCCCAAACCTTATCTCCAGTCTAAAACTGTTCCAGCCCCAATTTTTATCACGGGCCCACCTGATAGTGACTCTGGGAACCCGTGTGAGGTAAAGGGCCCTCCAACGTCAGGGCCACGAGGTACAGTGTGGCCTTTGGTGTTTGGCCAGCGAGAGCGAGAGCGAGCGAGCGAGCGGAAGGTCACCTGGCAATGATGTGTGGCTAACACGCCGTTTCTCTGCCCTTCCTTTGCAGTAATCCATGGCTGTGTACTGAATAGTATCCCCTGCTACAGCTGGACTGGACTCCATTTAGCCTTTTAAAGCCAAGGCTCCTATTTTAACTGACAGCTTTCCTTTGGGGTGCCAGGCAGCATCCCCCACCCCTGCCGTGTACTTCACTTTGAG